TGTTACAACACTTGGACAACATTGATATCTCTCGGATTATTTTTATACAAAATCACTGTTGGATACAATATTTTCACACAAATCATCCTCTTGAAATTTCATAAAAATCAGCAATTGTTTCCCCGCCAAATCATATCATTCTTATTTTCACAAGTTTCAGAACTAGTGTTTTATAGCTATTTATGCCTCCGTGCTCGACCCTCTCATAGCTATTCCCTAAATTCTTTGTTATTCTGCAGGCATATATGTGGTTTTCCACAGTTATTCCTTCATTTTTATTATGACTCGTATATAGAGTTGTATATGATATCATAATTGTTTCTTTGTTTATTTTAAAGGGTTGGCGATCAAATTCAATTGCGGTTAAGTAGACTCGGGAGAGCAAGAATAGGTTGCTTTAGACATGTATGGCGTACACCTAGAGATACACTTGAAAGAAAGAGTGATAACTTGGTAGTTTCCTGATAAGAGAGAAAGATGTAATGTAAGCAAAACATGAGGCTCTTAATTTTGTAAACTTTCTCGTAATAAGCTAAATGAACCTGGAAGATGTAGCATGATGATGGCTGAATGGAGAATATAATATTTTGCTGGAGATGCCTAGATATGGCTTCTTTAAGGAAAACCTACATTGGGGTTAAGGCTCAACAATTTAGCATCGATATTATTGATTTTTAGTTCTACTCTTACTTGAGATACATCACCCTTGCAGCAATAAATTTAATGTGAGTTGTAAGTGTGGTCATAATTAGATGGACATGTTAACTTGATTAACTCTGAATGTGAGTACGAGCTGTTAGTAAGATGCACCTATTGTTCTACAGTGGTCTATGTATAGGCGTATAGCATTGGACCTTACATGTGTGTTAATTTCAACTATAAACTTATGCATTGCAGGGTCCGGAAATTCGAACTGGATTTTTGAAAGACGGCAAACCAGTCCAACTTAAGCAGGGGCAAGAGATTACCATTTCAACTGATTACAGCATCAAGGGGGATGAAAATATGATCTGCATGAGCTATAAAAAGTTGGCTGAGGATGTATATCCTCACAGTGTTATATTATGCGCGGATGGCACCATATCATTTACTGTTTTGTCGTGTGATAAAGAGAAAGGGCTTGTGCGATGCCGCTGTGAGAACTCTGCTGTTCTTGGTGAGAGAAAGAATGTCAATCTTCCTGGGGTTATTGTGGATCTGCCAACCTTGACAGATAAGGACAAGGATGATATCCTAANTTGTAGAAGTCCGAAAGCTGCTGGGTCCACATGCAAAGAGAATCATTCTTATGTCAAAGGTTTGATCCCATCGATCACAGTGAATCTTTTTTCCCTGATAATACATGAACTTTAGAACTATTGATTTTATACTTTAGTTGGAAGGCTAATAGTCCTTAAGCAATCAATATCAACCGCACAATTGTTTCCTTTTAAACACAATGGGATGATTATTTAAGGGATAAGGACTACCCATAAAGAAAATAGGGTGGAGCATTAAAATGTATGCATATTTGGCTTGTTTTTTCTGAATGATCAAATTTTTAAGAAGGTGATTTATTATATTTGGTTCCTAGGTTGAAAACCAAGAAGGCGTTGCTAACTTTGATGACATTCTTGCGAACTCTGATGCATTTATGGTGGCGCGTGGTGATCTGGGAATGGAGATTCCAATCGAGAAGATATTTTTAGCTCAGAAGGTGATGATTTACAAGTGCAATATCCAGGGGAAGCCCGTGGTGACTGCAACCCAGATGTTGGAATCCATGATCAAGTCTCCCAGGCCGACTCGTGCCGAAGCCACAGACGTTGCCAACGCCGTTCTTGATGGGACCGATTGTGTGATGCTCAGCGGGGAAACTGCCGCAGGGGCATATCCAGAACTTGCCGTGAGAACCATGGCCAAGATATGTATAGAAGCCGAAAGCACAATCGACTACGGGGACGTGTTCAAGAGAGTGATGGCGAATGCGCCCGTTCCCATGAGCCCACTGGAGAGCCTTGCGTCTTCGGCTGTCCGGACAGCAAACACGGCCAAAGCCTCTCTCATCCTTGTTCTGACCAGGGGAGGGAGCACTGCCAAGATGGTGGCCAAGTACAGGCCAGGAATGCCGATATTGTCCGTTGTTGTGCCCGAGATAAAGACAGACTCCTTTGATTGGTCCTGCAGCGACGAGTACCCTGCGAGGCATAGCCTTATTTTCAGGGGGCTAGTCCCCGTCCTGTGCGCGGGGTCCGCCAGGGCATCGGACGAAGAGTCAACCGAGGAAGCACTTGAGTTCTCGCTGCAACATGCCAAGGCAAAAGGGCTCTGCAAGGTTGGAGATGCCGTTGTGGCACTTCACCGTGTTGGAACTGCCTCTGTGATCAAGATCGTCATCGTGAAGTGATTGGTTGATCGAATCTTCCGGAAGAAGGGGCTTCGTCGGTTCACACTTTATCTTGTTACTTCGTATTGTTTGCGCGCTGTTCTAGACGCTGGTATTTCTGTCCAGCCAATTTTCCAAACATACAAAGCTGGATTATGCTTACATTTCTTGCATTTTTGTCCTCGCAAACTGCTATTATATACTCTGCCCAGCCAGGACAGAGAGTATTCATCTTTTGCACTTAATATGAAGAATTCTTATACTCATTAATAAATATGCCCTATGCACCATATTTTTAAATAATATATGTCCATTTGGTGCGTGTTATATAAAAATGTTGTATAAATAACACATGATTCTTGCTTAGTTTTGCATTCGAACTAAGAAAGTGACATTTTTCCAATAGAGAATCTCACACTAGAAATCATCACCATAATTCCTACCACATAGGGTTTGGTGACATGAAACTTATAGTTTCAAAAACCATTGCCTAAAAATTAACAGACACTATCAATTCATACAAATTACAGCATATTACAAGCCAAGCCAGCATGCCCTCATGGTTACAGATGGGGCAACATCACAAATCTGAAAAACCCAGAACTCATAATGGTGTAGTATCATGTAAACTCAATATGGCATTGTGAACGCCAATCTAATCCTCTTGTGTATGAGACCTTGAGCCCGCGGAATTTGTCGTGGTTGAAGGAGAAAGCAAGTTGCCAAATGGCCATGGAATCGGCACTGAAAATTGTCGCCCAGAACTTCCAACCCTATTATTATTATGCCCTCCTCCATTGGAAACATTGTCAAAGTCACTAGCACAAGGCTCATTGGAGTCCTCGTCGCAGGGTAACTGGTGCCTACAAACAGGGCAGGAGCTATGAAGTTCCAGCCATGGAAGGATACACCCACAATGGAACTTATGCTTACAAGGCATCTCCTTTGCTTCTGAACCGATCTCAATGTCGTCCAAACAAACACAACACTGCAAGGAATCCTCAACTCTCACCACGGGCATGGCCTCAACCACCTTCTTCTGAGCCGGTGGGGTCCCATACCGGTTCGGGTCATTCTCAGCCAATTGCTGCAGTAGCACGTCCAAACCCGGCCCGAAGAAGTAGTCGCCCAAGGAGCCTACAAGAGGGGTGGGGTTGCCCGAACTGTTATTATTCGATCCGTGGACGATGATGGATTGGTTAAAAGGGTTTATCAAGATCACGCGCCCCCTTCTCTCCCTTTCATTTTCATCATCTCCATCATCATCATCATCATCATGCCTGGCAAAAGTTTCATCAGCCATTCCAGCTTGGATGCCTTGGATGAGTTGGAGGATTGTGGCTGAGCTCCTCCTCCTCCTCCTACGAATGATGGAGTCCAGTTCCCTATAGAGCTCGGTATGTTCGCTAGCATTGTTACCCACACCTTCTTCTTCTTCTTCTTCATGATCATCATCAAGCTCTACATGTCTGAGTCTGGTACTGCTTGTACTAGTAGTAGTGTATCTGTTGCGCTGGCGAAGGCTGCTTCTCATCATGCCCAGTAAGATTGGGGCCCAAAGGGAGAGTGCGGCGTGTTCTGAATCAAAAGGGATCTCGCTGCCACTGCTCTCGGAGCCTACTGCAGTTTCCATTTCCTCCACAAAGCCACCATCACAGAAGGGGCAGTTTAACGGCTCAATCTCCCTTATCGGGCTCACCACCCGAGAACACCCATAACACCAACATCTTAGTCCCCCGGCGTCCTCCATCTGCCCTTACTGGGTCTGATTTTTCTCTCTCAATTTCCCTATTGAAATCACATTTACACTATGTTTGGTTCAAGTAATTTGAGAGGGAAAGGAAAAGAAAATGAGAAGGAAAACTTTTTTTCTTGTTTGGTTAGAGAGGAAAAGAAAAGAAAAGTGGAAGGAAAAGAAAATGAGAAAGAAAAATGTATTAAGAGGATGGAAAACCAAATTCCTCCCATTTTGGTGAGGAAACTAAGGGAAAACCATTTTCTTTTCTTTTCCTTCCAAATTCCATGAACCAAACATAGTGTTAGGAATTTATTGCATGTAGAAATCATACTTGATACAATGAAGAGTCATGCAAGGTCACACCAGGTTTGACACCAAGAGTTTCACATACATGTCCGGACAGTATGCTAGTGTCTGTGACACAGACACACTCGTCATGGTCTGTGCATGTATGTTAAACACTTGGTGTCGAACTTGGTGGGTTTCTAGCATATTTGTATAATGAAGAGTCATGCAAAATCACATTTAGGAATCTACTGCATGTAGAAACCATACTTGATATAATGAAGAGTCGTGCAAGGTCACACCAGGCTAGATACCAAGTGTTTCACATACATATCCAGAGACACACACACATTGGTCATTGTTGTGCATGTGATTTAAACACTTGGTGTCAAACTCTTGGTGTCAAACTTGGCGGTTTTCTAGCATATTTGTTTAGTGAATGCATTCAACCTTAAAGACTACTTAGTCAGCTACCCTCCAATGTTCTTATGTTTTCCATTGTAGATCCAACCACAAAATATTAACATTTGTTGGGAGAATGGGGCTCCATGTGGTTGTCAAGGGAATCTTCTTTTACACCGAATGCTACCGATTAAGCCATTTAGACAAAATAACTATTCCCAAACAGGCCTTAAGAGATAAAATCCTGTAAAAGCTTGAATGTTAGGTGCTGTGGTGGGGAAGAAGAATAACAGAAAATAAGATTCCCCTCTGTCCCAAATTCTCATGCTTGTTTTCTTTTTAAGGTTTTCCAAGTTATAATGTCTATTTTCATTTATATAAAATATTAGTGAGGTGTGCCCTCACCTGCATAAATCTCAACTAATTAGTTTTCACTTTGATACAGTGTAATATCAATACACATGAACAAAATACTTGAATAAAAATCCATTTCCAAAATAGGAAATGGAATAAAACTATAGGTTGTGGAGCCTGATTAATATTTGATGTAAGGTTAAATATTGTTCTTCGTGCGGTTCAACCTTGATTGTTTTCCAAAATTTAGGTCGTACCTTATTGTTCTTTACCTATTATATATAGTGTGTATTCTGTGTAACGGTGTGAATCATCAATATATAGTCCTAATGGCGTGGCATTAACCTACGGCATTCACCACGTTTCTTCTGTGCATTTTTCTCTCCCAAGCTCTTAGTTTTCTTTCCAATTTCTTCGTTTTTCATGTTCCGCCATGTTTGGTTTGTTTAATTCGGAAAGAAAGGAAAAGAAATTGGTTTCTCCATTTCCTCACCAAATTGGAAGAAAAACAGTTTTCCATCTTAATTTATTTCTTCATCTCATTTTCTTTCCCTCCCCACTTTTCTTTTCTTTTCCCGTCTAACAAACAATAACTTCTCCCCCCATTTTCATCTTGATTGCGAGTGAAAGTCTTCGACCCTAACATCAAATCATTGCAGTTTTTGAACAAAACACAAAAATAGCTAGCGTCCGACGATTTCTCTCTTGTTGTCAAATAACCCAACTCGAAACTCGGCTCCAATACCCTGTCAAGAAAACCAACCCAACCAAAAGCTCAAGCTTCTGGTCGTATGCTTAGGAAAAAATGTTTTTATATTCTAACACTTATTATTTGAGAAGGAGCAAGGACCCATATACATATCTTCAAAGAGAAAATCTTCTCTCATTATGAATTATTATTTGCCTTGTTTGAGCAAATTAGTAGGGAAAAAATGCATATAACAGCAAGAACAGGAATGAATAAAGGGAAAGGAGGGCAAAAAGGGGTAAAATTACCGGGTTCAGATCGAGCTTGAATGAGAGCGAGGGAGATTGAACCTCCCTCTTGAGTTTTTTTTTTTTTTTTTGGGGGTTGGGTTATGGAGAGGTGTGGGATTAAAGACTGCTTTGAGAGCGGTAGAAATGGAAAGGAGAAAAGAGTGGGAAGGGGTGGGGGCAGGAAGCCATATCCTCTTACAAACCACTCATCATCAAATCACCCATTTCATCTATTTGTGTTAGCCATTCATATAAGACTACTGCCTCCCTCCCAAGAATAAAGGCCTTCTTTGTTTGGAAGATGGTTGTTGACGTGTGTTGCCTCCTAGCTATATTGACCCATCAATTATATCTCTCCGTCCAAAAGTTTCTTTTCTGCTAAACTCCACTATTACTTATTCAACTTTATGAGTTGTGCACGATTAGTCCTTCAAGTTTCAAAAGGTCATAAATAGTCCTTCAACTTTAGCAGTTATGCATGATTGGTCATTCAAGTTTTAAAAGTACATAAATAGTCCTTCAAGTACACGTCAGCCTTCGAGATGATGTTCTTTTGACGGTAAATGTTAAAAGCTAAATGGAGTATTAGCTGCATATAAAACGGAGTAGTCGTACCTAGTGGAATTTACTCATATTATATGGATCTAGCATTCCATTTAGCTTTTAATGTTTACTGTCAAAAGGACTACATCTACAGGGCTGACGTGTACTTGAAGGACTACTTGTGGACTTTTAAAACTTGAATGACCAAGCGTGCACAACTCATAAAGTTGAAGGATTATTCATGGACTTTTCAAACTTGGAGGACCAATCGTGCACAAATCATAAAGTTGAAGGACCAATGGTGGATTTTAGCCTTTTTTTCCGATTTGACTTGTCATAAAATTTTAAAAAAAATTGAAAAGTATAAAGACTTTTGATGCATTATCATTGATATGATGAAATAAAGTGAAAGATATTGATAAAAATGGGGGGTGTAATGACATTTTCATTAAAAGTTTTTTGCTAAAATAGGAAACGGGAAAAAAATTGGATGACCCAAAAAAGAAAATTGGAATGAAATTAATGGACGAAGGGAGTATGTTTTCGGCAAACTCAACTTCTTATGTATAGTTTTTATAGATTAAATTATATTTAAAAATACTAACATATACTCCCTCTGTCCTAAAACTTTCTTTCCATTTCTCCTTTTTCTCCGTCCTAAAACTACTTTCCCATTAGAAAAAAAGATGACTAATGACATCAATACCCTCATGTATTTACACCAATTATCTTCTAACTCTATGTTTTGAATTATTGCAAAAACAAATTCAAAAAAACTTTTTTAAGGAGGGTAAAATTTGAAGTCAAAGCCAAAAATTAAAAATGGAGAAAAGTTAAACTGGGAAGAAAGAATTAGGACGGAGGGAGTATTTCTTTTGCCCCAAAATGTTCACCACATTACGCAAAATAAAGCGCAATTTCATGTTTTTTAAATTTATTTATTTAAATATTGGTATAGAATTAAAAATAAAAAATTTATATATTTAAAAACTACATTAAAAGTCTTTCAAAGCAAGAGGTGTTATGACTATTTTATTTTATCAGATAATCGATGAAACGTACAAACACATAAAAGTTTTTGTAATACGGAGTATTTAAAATAGTGAATTTTGACATTCTTTTTTTGGACAAAAAGAGTTTAAATTTATATGATATACTTTATTCATCTTAAAATAATTTACCTCTGCAATATTACAGGGACTCGAAAACTTTTATTCGTTTGTTTGCATATTTGATGAATCAATTGATAAAATAAATTTTTTTGTCATCTCTTCTTTTGTAGAACTTTTGAAATGGTTTTTTAAATGTCTAAATTTTATTTCTATTTCTATACAAATTTGTAAATTATACTCTGTATCCTTTAAAAATCATGAGATTTTGCACGTCGTTTGAATAAGAAATACCATTCTAGGACGGAGGAAGTAATATGTTTTGCAATATAATATAATTTATATACATATTATTTATTCATATGTGTTCATTCTTTCCTCAAATAAAATTTTAGGTGTTATTCTATAGTCACAACTACTAGTTTCTTCCAACTCTTTCCAGTTCTTTCCAACTCCTTCCCGTTTCTTTCAATTGTTTTCTGTTCCTTCCAACTCCTTCCAGTTCTTTCCAACTGCTTCTAGTTTTTTCTAACTTCTTGCAGTTTTCTTCAACATTCAACTCTGAAATTTCAATCCAAAACAATAGGGTCAAAAACTTCACTGACACACACAAACCCTCAATGTATGTGCATGCACACCCAATCTTTCATATATACACATTTATAATAATTGTCTGTGTGCATGAAGAATTATTGTTTATGTATGTACGTCGAAAGTTTGGTGTGAAATTGTCATTAAAATTATCTAAAGCCATAACGTTAGAAACGGTGTTGTCACAGCAGTGTAGTGCTCTTATATTTGGTTTTACTAGAATTTTGACTCGTGCCAGGCACGGGGTCGAACGTACTTTTTGTATTCTAATTTTTTTTCAATGTAATATTTTTAGAGAATAAAAAAATAATATTTCTAATACGATTTTAATATTATAGATACAAAAGCCAAAGTAAAATAAAAAATATTTGATGAATGGAAAGTTTAATCAACAAAGTCTTTTTAAAATCAAGTATAATACTCCCTTCGTCCTAATTCTTTCTTCCCAGTTTGACTTTTCTCCATTTTTAATTTTTGGCTTTGACTTCAAATTTTACCCTCCTTAAAAAAGATTTTTTGAATGTTTTTTGCAATAATTCAAAATATAGAGTTAGAAGATAATTGGTGTAAATACATGAGGGTATTGATGTCATTTGTCATCTTTTTTTTCTAATGGGAAGGTAGTTTTAGGACGGAGAAAAAGGAGAAGTGGGAAGAAAGTTTTAAGACAGAGGGAGTATTGTTTTTTCTTCGTTCTTGACACTCTTTAACTTGCTGAACAGCTTGTCTCCATCTTTAAATTCAAGTTTTTCTTCACGTGTTCTTTTCATTGGCATGAAATTGGATATACTATGTCCAAGTCACGTTATTTGATTGTCTTGAGAATTGATAAAATCCACAGTTAAGTCCTGCTACAAATTTTAATTTTATCAAATATTGATCTATAATGACAATTCTTATACAGTATTTATCTTAATTGATTTTTAAATAAGAGTTAACTTTCAAATACTCCATATTAAGGCATTAAGCAAGAAGATGCTTCGCCTCTTAAAAACCCAACCAAATTAAAAATAACCAGTGGATTTTTGACTGTGGGGCTACTGACACGATGTCCTTCGACCATTCCGATTTTAATTCTCTAAATTGGTCCAAGAAAACCCATATCCAAACGGCCAATGGGGATTATTCTCGTGTCGAGGGCACTGGTCCAATATCTATCTCAAATTCTATCTGGCTGGAGAATTGCCTATATGTTCCCACATTGTCTCACAAATTGCTGTCAATAAGCCATGTCACAAAACAATTAAATTGCATGGTCCTAATGCACTCCACTTTTTGCTTATTACAGGATATTCGGACGGGGAAGATCATTGGGCGTGGTTCTGAGCGTAATGGCTTGTACTATGTTGAGGAATTTGATCATTACGGAACTGCTACGCTTGCTCATGGGACAGTGGACAGGCAGGCATGGTTGTGGCATCGTCGTTTGGGACATCCATCTTGGGGGTATCTCAAAATTCTCTTTCCAAAATTATTCAATAAATCATGTCAGTTTCATTGCAACAGTTGTATTCTAGCCAAAAGTCATAAACATTCCTATCCGTTAAATAATACAGTTGCATCACAACCTTTCTCATTAATCCATTCTGATGTGTGGGGTCCATCTCCAGAACCGAGTCCAAATGGGTATCAATA